TTCCAGCTTGGTAATGCAAGGAGGCCTGGAACCTTGACTTATAACGCACCGGCATGGCACTCATTACTGAAGTTAGTCAATATATTTTTAAATCCCTTGAATCCTACAGTTTTGTCCTTTTGTAAATTTCACAATTTGTTCTATTTTTTTGCCATTTAATTTTCCCCCATAAATTATTCCAGTATTACACGATAGAAACCTTATTTTACAAAATTGTCCGATAGAACTAATAAAAAAAAAATTCGATTGCCAGCCTAATTTTCTGATTACATGTTATGTAAAGTGAAAAATTAACTATGTGACTTTATTGCGGTTTGCAAAAAAATATGAAATTTGCAGATCAAAAAAAAAAGAAATCAATAATTTCTGATTTCTAATTGCCGATTTCTTTAACATTACTTCTGATGGTGTATGTATATCAACTAATATTATACCATAAAGTCTTATATATATTTATTTAACATACATTTTTTTTTAAAAAAATTCATTCTAATAACTAAAATTATTATCCTGGAACATGCTTTTTACTATCACTAAAGTCAGTTCTGGTTGTTAACTAACTATATTTACCATTATTAACTTTAGTTTACTTATTTAATAGTTGGGGCTAGTGTTTGCTTTAATTGTGTTCCCATGCTGGTTTTTAATCATAAAAAAATGCCTTAGCAATACATGTTCTATCAACATCCCTATCTGCGATTTTTGATAATAGGTGAGTACTTTATGTTTATCCAAGTCAGATATTTCGCTAGTATTACTCAGCTCTGCAGATTTCTTAACTACAAATCCATTTAGATAACAAAATTCAGCATTACAGATTTCATCAACGTTACCCATTTCAGCAAATTTTTGGTATTAGATGAATGCCTTATGTTCATTCTATTTTCACTAAGATAACAATTAGATGTTCCACCGACATTACTATCTTTGCAGATTTCTGAAAATAAATGAGTGCTTTATGCTCATCCTTTTCAACTACAATTTCGTTCTGATAACAATATCCAGCGTTACAGGTTCCATCAATATTACCCATTTCAATAGATTTTTGATATTAGACAAATGTCATATATACGCTCATACTTTTAAACTCTATTTCCATTAAGGTAACAATCAGATGTTCCACTGACATTACTCATCTCTGCAGATTTCTGAGAATAAATGATGCTTTATGTTGATTCTTTCAACTCTATTTCTATTCCGATAATAATATCCAACATTACATGTTCTATTAGCATCACCAATTTTTGTAAATTTTTCATGATCACAAGCATTAAATATTCTTCCAGTATTATCAGTCTCTGTAGATTTCTGTTCATCCTTTTCAACTAAAATTCCATTCAGATAACAATATCCAGCATTATAGGCTTTATCAACGTCACCTATTTCTATGATTTTTGGTAACAGGTAAATGCCTTATGTCCATTTTTTTCTCCATTTCTATTAAGATAACAATTCCAGCATTACTAATTTCTCAGATTTCTGAGAATAAATGGTGTGTTATATTCATTCTTTCAACTCTATTTCTATTCTGATACTAATATTCAACACTACATTTCTTATGATCTTAAGAATTAAATGTTTTGCCAATATTTTTGTAGATTTCTGTTTATCCTTTTCAACTACAATTCCATTTAAATAACAATATCAATGACACCCATTTATGCAATTTTTGGTAACAGGTAAATGTCTTATGTATATCCTTTTAAACTCTATTTTTATTAAAATAACAATCCCAGTGTTTCAATGGTATTACTCATTTCTGCAGATTTCTGAAAATAAATAGTGCTTTATATTCATTTTTTCAACTCTATTTCTATTTCAATAATAATATCCAACATTACATGTTCTATTAGCATCACCAATTTCTGTGGATTTCTCATAATCCCAAACATTAAATATTCTGCCGGTATTATTAGTCTCTGTAGATTTCTGTTCATTCTTTTCAACTACAATTCTATTTAGATAACAATATCCAGCATTATAGGTTTCATCAACGTCATCTATTTTTGCGATTTTTGGTAACAGATAAATGATGAATGCCTTATGTTTATCCTTTCAACTCCATTTCCATTAAGATAAGCAATCAAATGTTCTATCGACATTACTCATCTCTGCAGATTTTCAAGAATAAACAATATCCAACATTATATATTATATCAGTGTTACCAATTTCTGTAGATTTTTCATAATAGGTGAGTTTTTTATATTCATCCATTTCAACTCTATTTCTATTAAAATATCAATTTCTAACATTAAATGTTCTGCTGGTATTACTTATCTTTGCAGATTTCTTTATTCTTTCAACTACAATTCCATTTAGATAACAATATCCGGCATTGTAGGTTTCTGTTTTGAGAAAAATATCCAACTTAGAATACTTGTATAATTTATATTGTATCCTTTTGCTTGATATCACTTTAATCTAAATGAGTTAGTTAGAGTTAGTGGTGGCATTAGAAGGAGGGTGAGTTAGTATTTGAGGGTTGGTTAAAGTTGGTGTTAGCATTAGCATTAGGGTGAGGGTGGGTTAGGGTTAGGGTGTATAGTTTAGGCTAATTCGTTAAATTTGTTTAAGCAATATACTTATAATTTATTTATATAATTTATAGTAATATTGATATATATAAATAAAATAAATAATTTACATAATAGGCTACATGTAGCCGTAGCTATATATAAAATTTCTCTTTTTTTATTATTGTATATTTTTATAAATAAAAAGACAATGAAAAATTCAAATTTCGCTTCAGCGAAGTTTAAATTTTGCCAATTTTGCAGAAATGCGAAATGGCAAAAGTCACGTGACCTCACCACCAAGGCGGACTTTAAAAATCTCTGATTAATGGAGTTACTTATGATGCACTGATCTCTGTCACAAAAAAAAGTAACAGGCCCTATGAAATACCTCTGCGTTAGCAGGGGTATTTTATGGAGCCCATTACTTTTTTTTGTGACAGAAATTAGCATATTATTAATAGGAAGATTATTAGTAGAAAGATTAGCAAAAGTTGCTTTGTAGCAACAAGAAATAAAAACAAATTTATTAAGCTTATATGAGCAAAAAAGCATTCATTACGGTTTGGTTAAATGTTAAAAGATGTGTTATATTAATTACATTCAAATCAAGGTGTTAATTATTTGTTCTGAAAGTTTCAAACATTAAAAATAAAGTGGCTATCTTTTTAGACCGATTTGAAATTTGTTGTGAAATTTGTTGTAAATTCATCGTTTATTATGTTTGATATATTAAAATGTAAAAGTAGGGCTTAAGCGATCTTTATCAATGGAAAAAAAAGTGGTTTGTATCTCATTAATTTGTTGATTGAATTGGTAACTCACTTGATTGATTTATTTTTTTTTTGACTAATTAAAAATTTATATCTGATCCTTTGAGTGAGGTGCTTAAGAATAGCCTTATACAAATTTTGCACAATCTGATCAGTAAATCTATATTGTACTAAGTACTGTAAAATGCTGCACCGACATACTATATAAGAGGAAGGCAACTCCAGTACATGGTAAAGAAAACCAATACTCGATTTTTATATTCCAAATTTGTATGAAATAAAATGCTATATGCATTAATTTATTAGTTAAGTACTGTAAAATGCTGCACCAATATTCTGTATAAAGGAAAAAAGGTGATTTCAGTACATGGTAAAAAGAACCAATACTCGATTTTTACATTATAAATAAAATAACTCAACCAAATGTTAGAGATTTTTTTCTTAAATACTGTATTTATTTGGCAAACAGATTGTCTAATATTACAAATTAATTGTAACTCTAGCTTACATAATTAAAAATGAAAATAAAAAATACAAACAATTCTTAATATAAAGCCTAGCCAAAATTTTCTAATTAAAGGCTCTTGTATTATTGTAGTTTGCACGAAGATATAATGTAACTTTTACAATTCATTTTATCATATAAAATCACAGAAAATTAGAATATTTTCGATTCTAAAATAATTTTTCAATTCCGAATAAACATAGATGTCTTGCCCTAACAAAATTTAAAAGTAAAAATATTACAACAATAAGCTTTAAAAAAATACTTATCTTGGTGTCACATTTTAAGAGTGTCCAGAATTCTGCAATACAAATGCATAAGTATACCCACACCAAGTTTTTTTTTCTTAATAAATGAGTAAAAAAAAAAAGAATTCAGTGTAAGAAAATTACACGAATTCTGAATGCCAATTCTCTATATAATAAAGTCTTATAATTAGACAAAAAAAATACTTTTAATAAATGATCATTTGTTACATTTTCGTTGAATAAAACCTACCTCTATAAGTATTACAATAGCAGAATGTTTTCTAAAAAACAAGTAAAAAAAACTACTCTTAGTAATGAGCAGAGAAGAGAAATTATTAAGTACAAAGAAAAGAACCCAAATATTAGCCATGTTGATCTTGCTGCTTGGATTAAAGAAACATTTAAACTTGAAGTTCATTCGACTACTATTGGGTGTCTAATAAAAAATAAAAACGACATTGGTGATAATCTCTCTAAAAAAAAACAAAGAACAGTTCAGTATCTGGATCTTGAAAACGCATTACTTGAGTGGGTTTTACAAAACCAAGACAAATTTATAATAAGTGATGTGATTTTGATTAAAAAAGCAAAAATTTTTGCTAAACTATTAAAAATATCTGAAAGCGAACTTAAGTTTTCACACGGATAGTTGTTTAAGTTTAAAAAAAGGCATGGTCTAGAACAAATAAAAAAGCATGGAGAAGATGCTTTCATAAATGATAATGTAGTTGCAACAGCCATTTCTTAGTTAAGAGAAATTCTAAAAGAATATAATTTAAAAGATATTTACAACATAGATGAAACAGGATTATTCTATTGGCATATAGTATAATAATAAATGAGCGATACCAAGAAAAAATCAGACTTCGATCAATATAATCAAAGTCTGATTTTCTCTTAGTATCACCCAAATCGATACTTATTAATTTCTTCTTTTTTTTCATTTGTTAGTCTTGAGCCAGATACCACACTAGCAACTACTCATCTAAAGGGTAAAAAAAAAGATAAAAAACAGTTAGCTGTGGCACTTTGTGCTAATGCTGATGGAACGGATAAATTTAAGCCCTTTGTAATAGATAAATTACCCAACCCATGGTGCTTCAAACATATTAAATGCAACAGGCTTGGTGTCACATATAAGTCAAGTAGTAAGGCATGGATGACGACTGTGCTATTTCAAGCATAGTTTAAGGAATTTGACATGAAAATAGCTAATCATAAGGTAATTCTTTTAGTAGATAATGCCAAGTGTTATTCCTCTAGCAATTTAAACCTTTACAACACTACCATCCACTACCTTCCACCAAACACAACATCTTGCATACAACCACTTGATGCCGGTATTATTATGTCTTTTAAATGTCGCTACAAAAATTATTTTATAAAATGGATGCTTGATCAGTATGAATCTGAAAATAATAACAAATTAAATGTTCTTAATGCTATAAAATTTATTGTTCAAGCATGGAATGAAGTGTCATCAGAAACAGTATGTACAGTACATAGAATAATTACCTTAAAAATAAAATATTAGAATGGTTAAAATAGAATTGAAATTAGGCTTTCTAAAAATTAAAAAAAATTATTAATTATTTGTATAGGCTAAAATAAATTAAATAGCATACTACATCATTGCGAAATAATGCCTCAGGGTATTATTTCTGCAATGATACAGTAAGTAATTTATTAAAATATTAATTTTGTTAAAACTTAATAATTTCGCCCATCTAATAAATACATAATTGTTTCCGGCATATAGGGATCCTTCTAGTTGTTCAAAATAATGAAGAGCCTACTAATGATAATGATGATAAGTTAATGGAAGAGATGAAAGTGGATATTGAAGCACTTAATTTTCGAAATGCGATGGATCTTGAAGTCTATATTAATTACCCAGAGGAGGAAAACACAAATAAAACCTTGAATAAACAGAAAATTTTAACTTTGGTCACTAATATAGAAACCGAGAATGATTCAAATGATGACAATAGTAAAGACGAAGATGACAGTAGAAAAATCTCTCTCATTACCTACCACGAGGTGCTAAATGCCATAAAGATGCTAGAACATTACTTTATGCAACAGGATCTAAGTGATAAAGACCGGTTGTACCATAATCAAGCTTTATTAAAGTTACAAAAGGCAATTAGAAAAAGTCGAAGTGCGTCTTTTAAACAAGTAAATCTTGAAGCTTTTTTTTAATTGATCGACTAAGTAACTCGGGTTAGAGATCGTTAAATATAAAATGAACAATGTGTAAACTACATTTACTTAATAAAAAATAGTCAAAAACCTCTATTACTCGAAAATAAGCTACTTCTAAAATTTTCGTGTAATTTTTGCCCAAAAATAGTAGCTTATTTTCGGGAATATACGATAAAAATTACATATTAATTTGCTAGTTATGCATAGTATTTAAAAAGTTACATATTAATTTGTTAGTTAAGCACAGTATTCTATAATTTGTTATTTTTGTATAAGTAAAATTTGCAAAAAAACACTAAATTGTATTTTAAAGCTGCTTGATATATAAGTATTGAGACAGCTTTTGTAAGTATGAAGTAATCTTTATATGAGATATAGTAATAGTAAAGTTTGAATAATTAGTCAAATAAGTATGAGGTAATTAGTTAGTGTTTAGGTATATTAGTAATTGATGAGGTATGTGGAGAAATAGCTTTGTTTCTTCTGTGAACCTAATATTCATTCTGGTTACATTGACCTTCTAGTAAGTTTTTTTCAGAATGGTATGTTGAGATAATAGTTATATGAAGGACTAGGGTTGATGTATTTGCTTTAAGCATATAGCCTATTAAGATGACAGTCATTTGTACAAATTTCTGTTGTATTATATAATCTGTTAAGACAATACAGTCAAACCTCGATATAATCACCAGTTTGGGAGACAAGAATCTGGCGATTATAAAAAGTTGTGACTATACAAAGGTCAAATTTTATATGTTTTATATTAGCTCGAGTTAAAAAATAATGTAACTATATCAAGGTTGTAACTATATTAAGTGTGACTATAATGAGGTTTGACTGTAGTTGAAAAATATAATAATACTAAAAAAGTTGTATAAGTTATTTAATTAGCAAAAAGGAATACCCAAATGCATTTTTATAGTAAATTATTATAAATAAAAAACAAAACAATAAATTTTAATCATTATAGCATTAGCAAATTGTATACCATATTTGCATATAATAACACATATAGCATTATTTCAAAATTCACACTTTTTAAAAATTTGCCCAAATTTGTTAAAATGATTCGAATTACCATGCATGCACATTCTGAAATAATATGCAAGGTCTCAAAATAATATACACCTGTGTATTATTATATGGGCTGCCGTCAATAGAAATAAGGCAGATTGACATTTTAAAAAAAATTAATACCTTAACTTTCACATCTCATAACTCGATGAATTTTAAGGCTATATTGAAGATTTAATATTCAAAAGAAAGCTTAGATTGTATGCTTTCTTTTGAATAATGAATCATTAAGACAGACTCAAAATCCATCGATATATTGGCTGTGAAAGTTAAGGTA